CTGCCGATACGTGAACGGCTGTATATGCGCGTTAGGAGTGACGAAGAGCCGAGCGAGGCCGACCTCGGGTCCCCCGCGTACCAGTGTAGCCTTCTAGTTTTCACCGGGACGACGCGAAGCCCGCGAGGAACGGGGTCCGACAGGAAATGCAGAACGCACCTGCGGCGACTCGTCTGGAATTCATTAGCTTAGAAAGTTCACGGTCGGATCGGTAAAGGTCGTGTGTGCTTAACGCTCTAAGATCGAGATCGTAGCCGGCATCGGCAATGCGACCGGCAGTCAAATAAAAAGGTATGATATTATATAGAGGGAGCGGCCGGCGTGCCCGAGATTTTCATCAGAATCGCCCTATACATACCTGGACCCACGTATATGGGACCTCGTAACGAGTCGTTGAGTAAAGCATAAAAGTTTAACGAGCGGCCGCTTGTAAAGCTAATTGAAGAAGGAAGTGGAAGGTCGCCGATAATCCGTGATGCTCTTTTTTCTTTCTTTCTTTTTTTTTTCAAAGAACAAAAGTACATCCACGCACCGTATTTTATCTTACGTAAAATCCCATTGACGTTGGATTCGTTTCAAAAGTCAATCACTTTTATCTTATGATCGACTAGTACCTACTTCTGCCACCGGCGGGAATGGAAATGGCGCTGCTGCCGCTGCCCCCATCGAGACGTCTCCGGTGCCAAGTTCGTTGCGCGCGGCGCTGCCTTCGGGCTGCTGTCGCTGCCGCTTTTGCTTCTGCTTATACCGACGCCGCCTCGTAACTTTACGTCGCGTCGTGAGCATCGCCGGCAAGGTGCGCCGCCCCTCATGGGAAAACGCGGCATAATATATTATTTTAATGCGACGCGAATGTGGGAACCCGATCGGAAAGAAGCGTGTTACACCGCGTGCATAAGCTGCAACTTCAGATCGATTGATTCCACTTGCGATTTCAGTATCTCCGCGCGATATGTGAACCTATGTACATCGTTATGTATCCATTTAATGCTATCAACCCGACGGGATACCTACTGGCGCTTTGAGTTACCGACGAGTTTTCAGCGTCCCGAGACGTCGATCTTTTTTCGCGATTCACGTGCATACAGAGAAATTCTTGATTTATCAATATTCAACTGCTGGGAATTAACCAATATTAATATGCATCCATTGACAGCCGATTCGATATATGTGATTCGTGTTATCGCGCTATTAATTATTATGAAAAATATCCATAGGCAAATATCAAAGTAATTTATACATGACAGCATTACTATATGGCGAGTATGACGGGTTGCCCGGCGACAGGCGCATTCATTAATTTCGAGATTTTATATTTTGAAAAATGTCGAACGAACTAAAAATAATTTTTTTTTCGTATCCGTCATTGGTCGTATATATAAATATGTCGATCGGCAATTTTTTTTTATATTTGGCACTCACTGAAACGTATCGATATATCGTATTATATTTACCTACGTTGAATAAACTATTGTACATCAGCTCAGAGAGCCTGTCCAATTTACAATTGGCAAACGCCGTAAAAGACGAATCTTCAAATCGTACTGATTCATCGATGAGAGCTCGTAATTCGCGACGCGTTTCGCGCGTGCCGCGACGATTTGCGCACGCGAGCGTGCCGAATCGAATAGATTTATTGGCGCTAGTTTATCGCTACGGAACGCTAATAACGAATTATTGCCGAGCGCTACGACGACGAGGATTAATAAAGGTTTTAGCCGATAGTGGGTATAGGTTAGGTACAGGACAGATATAGCAAGTAAGTAGACAGGCAGGTACCTACCTACAAGATAGTCTCTGTAAAAAAAGTAAACGTGCAGATATGCGCCAATAGAATGACGCATACCCAGCATGCAATATCAGGAGCAGTCATTAGTCTGGTGAAAATAAATAAAGAAACTAACACGAAATTGTAATACGGTCCCTTTAGGACACTTTTTACTTTTCGGAATTGTCCGGCAAGAAATTTGCAAGGTTGTTACGTCCCTTCCAGGAAACCAGTTACTTATGCTAATATCAACGTATATACACCCTTCGCTACCGTTGATGAGCAATTAATACGCTTGCCCGGCTCCTGGTGCAGCAGAAGATGCTAATGCACCCATACACAGCCGCCGAATGTCTCTCAATTACAGTGCAACAAGAATTCCCAGGAAGGCACCGGATCCCTCTGGAATATCTGATCCGTCGTTCGGTTCGTTCTGCAGTTGCAGCAGACAACCTCGCCTGCCCCCCTCACTACCTCCTCGCCGATCAGTCGGACGTTCCACAGGGATTCATTCGGCAATTCCATTAGTATCGGGCAAATGGAACGCATGGCATTACACGACTCGAATATATAGATATACCATAGACACGTTATTGGATGCCCAGCGCCAGAGCGCAACGCTGGATGTTGATCTGGTTAAGCTGATGCCTGGGGCGTCTGCTGGTCGCCAGTCGTCGGTCGTCGGTCGCTGGTCGCTCTCGGAGAAGCAGGAGGTGCGGGACGACCTCGCCAGGGCGTGGCAGGTCACCAGTCCTCGATGCACAGTGGCGTAGCAACGATTCCAGGGGCCCTCGGCACGATATAAAAATTTTTCAAAAAATTTCGATCCCCGTATACAAATATTAAAACGATCATTCGTAAATGTGAACGGGGCTTTATTGTAGATTTTTTTTTAAATAAGGACGCCACTGGCTTGTCTCATCTAGTAGTCTAATTTCAGGTTATATCTCCATTAGACCCTCTGTGGGTATTGGTGGTCGATTTGTTTTCTGGTACCGTTTTGTTCTGGCACCTCGGTCAGGAATAGAGATTAGGTTAGGTGTGACTGAGATATGCAATAACGTCCACGTGACACTTGGGTTCGACTTGTACGGGTCAGAACGTACGGCCTGGGACGCTACCAGTGTGTCAGGTAGCCTTGTGTGTCTTATACCGATTTATACTCGAACGTCAGCAACGACACGCATCCATTTATATTTGCCGGATGAATTATTTATCAGCGCGGGCCCCGCTAATGCCGGCAGCCGCGCAAGAATGCGAACGACGCGGTCTGCGCCTCTTACGCGCGGAATCCGCGTTACGTATCTTCGTCCCTTTGCCGGGAACCTTCTGGAACGCCATACTCATATGGACGGGCATATATACGATATTCTTAAGATCTCGTGAAATTCCACGACCTCGCGGATCGGGATAACCTTTCCAGGAACATCTGTGAGATAGTTGGCCGGAAGTCTCGTTGAAGATTAACCGTACTGACAACTTGAAGAATTTGAGTCTCGATTTTTTTATTCTTCAAAATTTTTTTAGAAATTATCACGCTTTCACACTGTTCATTGAAAGTAATATTCCTTACGTGAATCCTTTATATATATATTTCATCGAATTTCCCCTCGTCGTTCTCGAACCAGGTCGATCATCGATAAATTAATAATACTAATTTATATACACGCTTCCCCGGTCGGTATGTACGCACATGCGACGCACCAGACTAATAATGTGTTTGAGGAAGGTATAATTGATGCGTAGCGACGTTGCCCTCGCGTTTTCGAGCTTGGCTGGAGAAAATATAGGTTGTCTTCTTCGGAATCGGCCGAGCGCAGTCGCCTGCGGTGCAACACGAAGATGATATATATTCCGACAACTGCAGCTGCCACGAGGGTCACGTTATACTTTGGCATTTTGGCGATATGGAGTAAGGATTTAAAAAAAAAATAAAAAAAAATGGAGTTGCAGTCAAATAACTCGTTCACCCGTTGACGTGGATGCCAAAGGAGATTAATACCACTGGAATTGACGTAAGAGACTTTTTCACATGAAAACTTCCGCGAATCCACATACTCGTATCCAGCGATCGATCGAGCTGGAGTTGCGGGGAGGAATGCGAATTTGGAATTGTCAGTGAAGCGTAGTGGGCAGTGCCTGCCGAGTGGCCGGAAGGTACAGGAGTCAAGTGAAGTAAATGTCAGACCGAAATGGAAGGCGAGCACAAGTGCGGGTTTACATTGTAATTTCCGAGCGCGCTCATGTGCACGGATCTTAAGGATAATTCGTGGCGCGGCGGACCGGAGCATAATTCATGCTCATGGATCGTTAAACCAGTTTTAGGGTATTGCATAAAAGTGAGCCTTATATTTATGTACATTTAATAACGGTCATTCTGTCCCCGAGGAGGGAACATCTCTTTCGCGTAATGACGTTAATTAGGCGTCTCGGGGAGAAGTAGCAAAAGAGAAGTAGAAGAAGAATTTAAGGTTAGGCATAGCGCGTCGTTGCTCGAGCCGCGAGTAGTAGTGGTGCCTGCGTAGTCAGACCAGTTAATGCAACTTAAACGTGGAATTGCCGCCTCGGCCATTACGAATAAATTACAAATTCTCTTTGCCGCCAGTAGGTACGCTCTGTGCCTGGTTGGACCGAACCCTCGGGGTACTGGCTTCGTGTTTTTATACCTATAGCGAGAGCGTCTATCCGCGGCCGTCGCGGTGGCGAGCATCACGAGACCGGATATGAAAGAAGCAGGTAGAGGAAAGAAGGGGAGGCATAAGAAACGCGAAAGAAGATCGCAATGCTCCGAGTGGCAGGATCTTAGAGCGCGTGCGTCTTCGGACCGGTTGGGTTAGGTTGCAGCCTAGGCCGTCTATATCGTTGCGTGCGCAAGTCACATTACGGCTGGAATATTTCATTCATAAAAGGTACTCGTATTCCATGAACTACAGCAAACCTACAGCCGCTGAACGTAATTATCCCTCTCCGTATTTAGGTTCGAAAGAATGAATGAACTGGTTTCTTTTTTTTTTTTTCAGATCGACGAGACTTCTTTGCTATATTCATATGTTCTGTTCACTTTTTTCTTCCTCTTGACATCCTGTACAGTGGTGGTTGGTGCTTTTTGGATTTTTCAAAAAAATTTTTCTATTGCCACTGCGCTTTTATTTTTCTTCTTTTTTCCAAATATTTTTATTACGTTCGTCCATACGTTTTTTTTTTAATCGAATTTTTATCTTGTTTGTTCCAGAACTTTCGCGAGCATCGTATAGATGGTGCTGCGCTACCCTTACTCTCGGAAGATCATCTAACTGGTCCAATTGGTATGAAGCTGGGCCCGGCATTGAAGCTTCGCGCACTTCTGGCGAGAAAACTCGGCGCGTGCACGGTGTGTCTTCACTGTGCGCATTGTCATCAGACGCCGTTGCCGGCGCTGAGCGCCGTGGCGGCTGCTGCTGCCGTCGCGACGCAGCCGTCTGGTCGTCGTCCGAGCAGTACCGGAAACTGACAAATACTGGCGGAGACTCCGGGGCCTGATATCGACCTCAACAAGGCCCTCAGGATAGAACGTCGCGTGCAACGACCTGTACGCAAACCGGAAGTCGTCTTCAAGAAACCGATAAAGCAATGACAGTCGGCTATCTTGCTCAAGATCAAATCCGGAAACTGCGTTAAAGCAGAAAAGTCCTTTGGTAGAATATCGTTGTGTGTTATTTTTATATTCTGACGTAATACCAAGGCTGGAGACTCCGCCGTCTTATAGTACCTAATGCTTCTATGCCGCAGGGCGACCTTTCGTTCGCTACGCCTTTTAACATCCTCGACTTCATATTCTCAGCCTTATCCGCGTGACCTCTGATATCGACCTCTACTCCTACGAAATGGGAATAGTACGTGTCTTGGAATCGTGCCTGAAATCAATAATTAAGAGACCATTGGTATTTCTGGTCAACCGCTCTGTACTTAAAGGAAAATGCTATAGAGAGCTATCGCATTGAGGATGTAAAATTTTTATGATACGAGGACATGGGAAAGTGCAGAAAACTGATGGTTGATTATAAAAAAAAAGGAACCGTCATATTGCAGGATATTTTTGAAAATTTTAGAAAATTCAAAACAATTGAATTCCGATATATTCTTTCGTTCAGCGTCTTCCATGTAATCGGTTAAAATTATATATTTATGACTGATCGCCTATACTATTTACTGATAATAGCGGTGCGAACGCTTTGCGATTTTGAAATATAGGAAAGCGAATTTAAAACGCGCATATAAGCGAGTGTTAATTCAAAAGACGAAAAAGTTAGGAGTCTATGGAAAAAATAATAAAATGCGTGGCGATTCGAGCGTCACTCTTGGTTACCTGATAAGACGTAATCGACCTGATCGAAGAGGTCGAGAACGTCATCGAATGAGAATGGAATGAGATTTACCCTAATTAGCGGCAAACAATGTGCAATAACAATAACAAACATTTCGATTATATCTTTAACTGTAGGTTGAATACGTATTTGCTCAAATCGTTGTTTCTTTTTTTTTATATATATATATATATATTTTAACGAAGTTTTTATATGAATGAATATATAGGTTGAATACGTATTTGCTCAAATCGTTGTTTCTTTTTTTTTATATATATATATATATATTTTAACGAAGTTTTTATATGAATGAATATAAATGAATAAATATACTAAATTATATTTTTGCTAATGCTCTTGCGCGCGTGCGGAAAATGCATAGAGAGGGAAAGAGAGAGAAAAAGTGAGAGATTGAGTAGAGCGAAATACGGAAAAAAAAATGGATAGACAATACAGGCAATAATCACACGTGAACATTTTTTGTAACGTACCCCAGACTAATTATATATAGCTTTTTAGCGCGTAGCCAAGTCGAGTGCGAATGTACATTTTCTTTAAATAATGTAACATTTATTTATTTAGCGGTTAACAGACGTTGCCTTATTGTATTCATAAACGTGTAAGACGTAATTAGTGCGTAATGTCGAAGAAATACACTAAAACAGAATCGCGTACTACACCATTAAAACCCAGTTCACACGACGAGCAGTATTTTTAGATTTACAATTAGCCTAAATTTACTGCGGACTGTAAAACGCTCGCGAGCCCCATTTTACAATAAAATCCAAGAATCCTCAAAGGTATATGAAAGAAAAAGCACTCTTTTTGTAACGAACAATCACATTGTACAAGGAATTAACCGCGAGCGCAATTATGGACCACGATTTTCGTATTTAATGTATTGTCAAGAGATAGAAAAGTATCAATACACGTGCGTAACGAAAGTGCGAACTCGTTTGGGGATTTTTGGAAATCGCGCGAGACAGATGCGTTTAGCGGCTTTTACTTAAAACGGTACACTGTACATACTGCATAGGCATTTAATTTATATCGTGCTTTTACGAGAATCCAATAGTATTTTATTTAGTATAATTCAATCTTATCGAACACGTGGTTAACCATAGTGTGTAAAAAAGAGTGTGAGTGAAAGCAAATGTAAAGGGAAAAAAGGAAAAGAGAAACAGTGAAAGAGAGTATGACAGTGTACGTATACGTATGCATGGACATGTATGAATAAACGATGTACGATTGTTAAACTTTGTATAGGCGAAAGTGCGTGCGCGTTACGGCAATTTTGTGATACTTTAATTTACCCCCCTTGCCCTGCCCTCTTATCCCTCCTGTTCCTCCTGTTCATTCATAAACTTCATCGACTCGTCCCATCCACTGTGAAACGACTTTGAACATCCTTTTTTTCCTGTTCAACTGATGAAACTCAAATCTCCATCCTCCCCCTATTTTCTACTTCCGGATCGCAAGTCTGTCGTGTATTATTATTTACGATTAACTGTCATATTATGTATAGTAGGAATTATTGGGGAAAAGAGAAAAAAATCACACAACAACAGTACATTGTTTCTGTTAAAATAAACTTGTTGAAAAAATATATGACACAAAATATTTCATTTCTTCACATCGTCCTCTACCTATTATATAAGCGTAGAATTGCTGTATTAAATCTGGAGACGACGTAAGGAATTAAATTCCAATTCGCTAATCGATGCTATTTCCAACTGTATTGATGTTCTAGACCTTTGCCTATAAAAAAAACAGATGAATTAAATTCAAATGTTTAAATGATTAAACAATCAGTACACGTCTAATGAAACAAATAAACAATGAAACTAATACACAAAAAAGTTACTCGCCTGTTTATGAATAGCCAGAACGCCATCGTATTCCGATTTTAATATTTCGATGTAAGCCTTACCATCGCGACCGACAGTAACAGACTTTCCGGAGCATTTTCCGTTCACCAAGTTACCGGAAATGACGTCACAGTAAGTACCAGCCGGTAGACAAGTCTGAAGGGTCTGTTTAAGGTCCCAGGAGTCGCCATTCACTGCAATGAAACCAGATCCGCCGCGACAGAAGGCGATTTGGTTGCTCTTGTTGTCCCACCAGTCGTTAAGTGCGGTGCCTTTGACAACATTACGGAAACGAACCATGTTGTAGATCTGACGCCAACGATGCTCGCAGACCCATCCGTTGCTGCAGGTGCCATCTGCATTTATACCCGGGGAGATGATGTTTCCGGAGGAATCAGCTGGAGGACCAGCGTCACTGTTATCGAAGTGGAAAGAGCTCATGACTTGGGTAACTCCGTAGGGATGGGCCAACATGAATGCAGTGGCCATCTGTCGGAAAGAATAAGAATTAACGTGTCGTAAATCCCTACGTTGCCAACTAAGAGCTTGCGCTGTTTAACACCTTGTAGAGCTTGGATTTCTTGTGGGTCAAGATCGATCCTCCAGATCCATGACCACGTTGGTTGTCATGATTATCAACAAAGACCAGGGCATCACCGGATGGCAAGAAACCCCAACCTTCGCCCCAGTTGATGAGCCACTTCAGGGCGTCTCTGCCTTGGAAAGCGTTGCTTAGTTTATTACTGTGCTTAAACTCAGTAACTGCAGCGTTCCTGTTGTACTCTTTGCTGGAAACGGCTTCGCCGCCATTATCGATAACTTCCTGGTAGATGTAAGGACGCTGGCCTGATTTGAAACCGTGTTTTGTGCTGAGGTTATGTAGCTTGTTGTAGATGATCTCAAGGTCGTTTGGCCACATATGCTTGGCAGCGTCGATACTGTATTTTTAAAAAAATAATTTTTCAAATCAACAACTGAGATTTACTGTACTTTAATATGTTTTGTTTTTACTCACCGGAAACCAGCAACACCAACATCAATTAATCCATTCATAAAGTCGATAATCTTCTCTCTGACGTAGTTCTTACCCTGGTTCAAGTCATGTAGCCCACTCAGTTCACAGTTCCTGATATTTTCAGCGTTGTTGTAATTGGTAACTGAACATCCCCTGTTGAAGTCACCGGGACCGTAGGGAACTGCGTAGAATTGAAAAGCGGAAGTATCAGCGGTTGAGCCGCCGGTACCGACTGCAAGCTTCTGGTTCGTAGACATGTGGTTGATGACGGCATCAACGTAGATCCTGACGCCGTCCTTGTTGCACCTTCTGACCATGTCTTTGAACGCTTCTGCATCTCCAGAACGTGTGACCCATTTGTAGGAAATTGGTTGGTAACGCTCCCACCATGGTCTTGAACCAATTACTACGTTTTCTTGTACAGGAGAGGTCTGAAGTATGTAATTGATTATTTAGTTGTTGTCTCTATTCGTATTTTTTAATGCATACCTGAATACCACCATAGCCCATAGGGCCCAAAAATCGTTCACACTCATCAGCAATATCGGACCACTTCCATTCAAAGAGATGTACAATAGTACCGTGATTGTCAGAGAAATGTGGGTCCTTATGGGTCCCCAGAACGGACCCAAACAGAGCAAGTATCAATACGGATAGACGCATCTTACCGGAATGTGCTGATGCTTTGAGACTCTGGCTTTATATACAGCTGCCGCACGACGTTATCGCTAGTATCGCGATAATGGTCGATTGTGATTACATTTTTCTTTTTTTTCATATTAATCGATGGATCTTTGAACGCCGATCTTAGAATCTTCTTTTCCTTTTATTTTGTGCTCTCGAAAACACTTGTTTACGTTTAATTGTTATTGGACTTTGGATGATTGTTTTCTGAAGCAAGATCGATTATCAACAAGTATATCAATAATGGATAACAATTTGCAAAGTTGTAGGAATTTTTAGAAATTTATTCTGAGGTTATTCATTATTTAGAAATTTTCAATGATTTATCCTAACTCAAAAGTTTTGGTTATGCAGTATTCTCTACAAATATGCTTATAATGCACTATCTATTTAGGACTAGCAATAAATTTAAATTAATTACCTATAATCATGACAGGAACAATTATCAAAATTAAAAAGTGAATTGGTTATAGGTAACAAATTCAAATTCATCTAGACCCACCTACTAGAATGTTTATTAAAACATAACAAAGGATCCGTACAAGTGAATGAGTAATTATCCGTATTCTCAATAATATCGTGTTTATTATTGCAGTAATAAAGCAACTTGGTAGATTGGCCGATGCTGGCATTAAAATTTTCACGATTTCTCTTCAACTTGTATGGGATCCTAGGGGTTCATAATTTGGCCTGAAATGCAACAAAATTAGCATTTATACTATTATCAGTACAATAAAAAATCGAACTCAAACCTTGCCATAAATCGCAACAACTCCATCAAGGTCATTTGGAAGTATCTCAATAAGTGCCAGGCTGTTCTCGTTAACGTCAATGGTCTTCCCGGTACAGCGTCCACCGCTGAGCATTCCGGAAATAACGTCACAATACCGTCCGGCTGATAATCCCGTGGTCAACCAACGTCGCAAAGCTGTATTTCCGTTATTAAAAGCTACGAATCCTTTATTGCCCCTTGAAAATGCTACCTGATCATCATCATTGGTCCACCAGTTGGTAATGGCTGCATCAGCAACGACATTTCGGAAGGCAACCATGTTATAAATTTGTGGCCATCTGTGCTCACACACCCATCCATTAGTACAAGTACCACCGGTATTTATAATTGGCGATAATATATTTACTTGAGAATCGTTCGGTGGTCCAGCATTGGTATCATTAAAATCAAACGAACTCATTACTTTGGCAAATCCATAGGGATGAGCTAACATAAAGGCCACGGCCATCTGTTGACCAAAAGTGAGAATTACACTGGTTCAAAAAACGTCGATATCATATTATCGATAGTTGATCTCTTTGGTGAAAAAATACCCAAATGGATGTCGAAGATGAGATTAGAGTACAGGTACCTTGTATTGCTGAGGAGTTTTATAGGTTAGAATCGAACTTCCACCAGCGCCATGACTGCGTTGATTCTCAGGATTGTCCATCATGTCAGTCTTTTCTCGTAGTCCGGGAGGTGTTAGAATTTTTAAGTTATCTTCAGTTTCCTCGTTTTCCATTTTCGTTCATTTAACTTGACAGCAAATAAAAGTAAATTTGAGGTTGTGCGTATAAACGTGAAGTTTGCAGCGTACTATACCCTCACACGTGTCGGCGTATGTAGTACGTATTAGTTAACGTGTGATGGCGCTAGTATCGCAGCACTGCGACCATGCTACATGCTTCTCTTATTTACTTCTCCACTCTGACGTCATCAATCAAAGAATCGACAACTTGTCCACTCGAGACGAGACTGCGAAATCGCATTTTCATCGCGGATGTTGGACAAATTAAATATAAATTTGTAATATCAGAGTGTGTACGCAAGTGTGTGTGTGTGTGTAAACAGAGTGAGGAGACGTGGCTGACAACAATCAGCAATTTGCCGTCCGTTGACCGTACCACATGCAACAATACAGAGCAGTAACAACTTGGATTGAGCGAACGTGTTACAGTTATTTTAATCCCAAAAACTCTATCACATGACTTTTTATGAATATCCTTACCCAACAATGTTCTGGGCTGCAACGTAACGCATCCTGTATGAATATATTCGATCAGCTGACGAAATACATCGGGCTCGAATTCCTCGATGATCAATGTATGATGCTGATTGGACTGTGGCTGTCAGATGAATCATGAAATTTAAAGGAAAATTATGTAAAAAATAAATTGTGTTTAATGACATCCTGATATCTTTCATGTATGAATTTCTGTTAAAATAAACTAGTTGCAAAAATAGATGAAATAAAATTTTTTATTTCTTCATATCTTGTCACTTTTATTAGGTGTACATACAACTAAGTTCTCGGCCCTAATCTTTAGTTAGCGATAACACCATTCAAACTTCAATGTTTTACCGCCCTATGGTGGTCTGGAAGTACTAAGCCTCGGCTTTAAAATACTCTATAACAGATGGCACTCTTATCGATATAACCTCAAAAACCAGAGTGAATACAATGTCTTTCCAAAAGCAGCACTTGAGGCACTGTTTTCTTTTGTCGTTTCAAATAAGATCAAATTAAGAAATTTTCGTTCGCGCGGCGTCGTATTCTCCAGACCTTGCCGCTTTTGATTACCACCTTTTCCGGTCCTTTCAACATCACTTGGCTGAAACACAGAACACCCGAAGAAGTCCGTCAAAGCATCGACGATTTCATTGACTCAAAACAGTCATCTTTTTTCCAAAGTGGAATTCGACAATTGCCTATCAGATGGCAGAAATGCGTACAAAGTGCGGGGGACATGCTTTCAAGATTAGCTACTTATTCATTCTTTTTCAATTTAACATTAAATTATGCAAAAAAATTCCAAGAACTTAATTTTACGCCTAACATATAAGTGTATAATTACTGCATTTAATTTGGGGACGACGTAAGGAAGTAAATTCCAATCTGCTAATCGATACCATTTCCAACTGTGTTGATTTTTAGTCTTTACCTATAAAAAAATACGGATCAATCAAATTCAAATGTTTGAATGATTAAACAATAACACGTTTAATAAAACAAATAAACAATAAAGTTACTCGCCTGTTTATGAATAGCCAGAACGCCATCGTATTCCGATTTTAATATTTCGATGTAAGCCTTACCATCGCGACCGACAGTAACAGACTTTCCGGAGCATTTTCCGTTCACCAAGTTACCGGAAATGACGTCACAGTAAGTACCAGCCGGCAGACAAGTCTGAAGGGTCTGTTTAAGGTCCCAGGAGTCGCCATTCACTGCAATGAAACCAGATCCGCCGCGACAGAAGGCGATTTGGTTGCTCTTGTTGTCCCACCAGTCGTTAAGTGCGGTGCCTTTGACAACATTACGGAAACGAACCATGTTGTAGATCTGACGCCAACGATGCTCGCAGACCCATCCGTTGCTGCAGGTGCCATCTGCATTTATACCCGGGGAGATGATGTTTCCGGAGGAATCAGCTGGAGGACCAGCGTCACTGTTATCGAAGTGGAAAGAGCTCATGACTTGGGTAACTCCGTAGGGATGGGCCAACATGAATGCAGTGGCCATCTGTCGGAAAGAATAAGAATTAACGTGTCGTAAATCCCTACGTTGCCAACTAAGAGCTTGCGCTGTTTAATACCTTGTAGAGCTTGGATTTCTTGTGGGTCAAGATCGATCCTCCAGATCCATGACCACGTTGGTTGTCATGATTATCAACAAAGACCAGGGCATCACCGGATGGCAAGAAACCCCAACCTTCGCCCCAGTTGATGAGCCACTTCAGGGCGTCTCTGCCTTGGAAAGCGTTGCTTAGTTTATTACTGTGCTTAAACTCAGTAACTGCAGCGTTCCTGTTGTACTCTTTGCTGGAAACGGCTTCGCCGCCATTATCGATAACTTCCTGGTAGATGTAAGGACGCTGGCCTGATTTGAAACCGTGTTTTGTGCTGAGGTTATGTAGCTTGTTGTAGATGATCTCAAGGTCGTTTGGCCACATATGCTTGGCAGCGTCGATACTGTATTTTTAAAAAAATAATTTTTCAAATCAACAACTGAGATTTACTGTACTTTAATCTGTTTTGTTTTTACTCACCGGAAACCAGCAACACCAACATCAATTAATCCGTTCATAAAGTCGATAATCTTCTCTCTGACGTAGTTCTTGCCCTGGTTCAAGTCACGTAATCCATTCAGTTCACAATTCCGGACATTTGAGACGTTTTTGTAATTGGTAACTGAACATCCCCTGTTGAAGTCACCGGGACCGTAGGGAACTGCGTAGAATTGAAAAGCGGAAGTATCAGCGGTTGAGCCGCCGGTACCGACTGCAAGCTTCTGGTTCGTAGACATGTGGTTGATGACGGCATCAACGTAGATCCTGACGCCGTCCTTGTTGCACCTTCTGACCATGTCTTTGAACGCTTCTGCATCTCCAGAACGTGTGACCCATTTGTAGGAAATTGGTTGGTAACGCTCCCACCATGGTCTTGAACCAATTACTACGTTTTCTTGTACAGGAGAGGTCTGAAGTATGTAATTGATAATTTAGTTGTTGTCTCTATTCGTATTTTTTAATGCATACCTGAATACCACCATAGCCCATAGGGCCCAAAAATCGTTCACACTCATCAGCAATATCGGACCACTTCCATTCAAAGAGATGTACAATAGTACCGTGATTGTCAGAGAAATGTGGGTCCTTATGGGTCCCCAGAACGGACCCAAACAGAGCAAGTATCAATACGGAAACACACATTTTACCGGAATGTGTTAATATTTTGAGACTCTGGCCTTATATACAGCTGGCCCACCTCATTATCACTAGTACCGTCATGATTGTTGATTGTGATTATATATATTCTTTTAGTCGACGGATCTTAGAACTAACTTAATTCTTATTCGACAGTGGGTGTTTATTTTCTGAACATCAATTGATGTCAAGAGATAATTATAAATACTTAAATACTACTATAAATACTTAAATATCAATTACTTATCAATAAGTATATCAATGATGCATAACAATTTACAAGGTTGTGGGAATTTTTAGAAATTTATTTTCAGGTTATGCATTACTTACATTTTTTCAATGACTTATCCTAACTCAAAAATGTTGATTATGCAGTATTCTCTAATAATATTTTTATAATACACAATCTATTTAGCGCTAGCAATAAATTTAAATCAATTACCTATAATCATGACAGGAACAATTGTCAAAATTAAAAAGTGAATTGGTGATAGGTAACAAACTCAAATTCATCTAGATCCACCTATTAGAATGTTTATTAAAACATAACAAAGGATCCGTACAAGTGAATGAGTAATTAACCGTATTCTCAATAAAATCGTGTTTATTATTGCAGAAATAAAGCAAGTTGCTAGATTGGCCGATGCTGGCATTAAAATTTTCACGATTTCTCTTCAACTTGTATGGGATCCCAGGAGTTCATAATTTGGCCTGAAATACAAAAAAAAAACAATGCATTTCTACAATTATCAGTAGAATGAAATAAAATATTTAAAATAATCAAATTCAAACCTTGCCATGAATCGCAACAACTCCATCAAGGTCATTTGGAAGTATCTCAATAAGTGCCAGGCTGTTCTCGTTAACGTCAATGGTCTTCCCGGTACAGCGTCCACCGCTGAGCATTCCGGAAATAACGTCACAATACCGTCCGGCTGATAATCCCGTGGTCAACCAACGTCGCAAAGCTGTATTTCCGTTATTAAAAGCTACGAATCCTTTATTGCCCCTTGAAAATGCTACCTGATCATCATCATTGGTCCACCAGTTGGTAATGGCTGCATCAGCAACGACATTTCGGAAGGCAACCATGTTATAAATTTGTGGCCATCTGTGCTCACACACCCATCCATTAGTACAAGTACCACCGGTATTTATAATTGGAGATAATATATTTTCTTGAGAATCGTTCGGTGGTCCAGCATTGGTATCATTAAAATCAAACGAACTCATTACTCTGGCAAATCCGTAGGGATGAGCTAACATAAAGGCCACGGCCATCTGTTGACCAAAAGGGAAAATTACACTGGTTCAAAATAACGTCGATATCAAATTATCGATAGTTGATCTCTTTGGTGAAAAAATCCCCAAATGGATGTCGAAGATGAGATCAGAGTACCTTGTATTGCTTAGGAGTTTTATAGGTTAGAATCGAACTTCCACCAGCGCCATGACCGCGTTGATTGTCATGATTGTCAATCATGACAACAGCATCCCGGGATGGCAACAATCCCCACAAGGAGTCACCCCAAGTTTCCAATTCTCTCAGCTGTCTAATTCCGCGAAACGCATCTCCCAAAATTCGACCGAACAGAAATTCGACAACCGTAGCAGTCTTATTATAATCTGACTTCTTTACCGACTCACCGCCAAGGTCAATGACTTCCTGATAAACGAAAGGCCTTGATTTTTTCGGGAAACCCTGACCTGGTATCAAATCTTTCAATCTACCATATATGATCTCCAAATCCTCCGGATACATGTGTTTCGCCGCGTCGATACTAAGAAAAAAAATTTGTATAATGAATTTTTAATTTTTTATTACTTTTTCGAAAAATTCTTTCATCAACTTGCCGAAAACCAGCGACACCGGCGTCGATCAGGCTGTTCAAAAAATTGACCATCTTTTGCCTAACGTATTCCTGTCTTTGGTCCAGATCGTGAAGACTGAGTAGTTCGCATTCGCGTACTTCCGTAGCATTGCTGTAGTCTTTGAGTGCACACGTTTTATGAAAATGCACCTTACTGTAAGGAACAGCTGGATATTCCTTGTCCGTAGTCAGAGCCGTTGAGCCTCCGGTTCCAATTGCCGGTATCTTATTTGAGGTCATGTGGTTCAATATTACGTCTACGAAAATTCTTACCCCCACTTTGTTGCAACGTCTGACCATTTGTTTGAACAGTCTCTCGTTGCCAGACCTCGTCTCGATTTTGTACGACATCGTTTGATAACGTTCGTACCATGGTCTCTTTGAAATTATTAAATTTTCTTGAACAGGAGATACCTGCCAGATGCATTGCAATAACCTTTTGTCAGATATCAATTACTTTAATTTCGTAATTATTATTATTATTCTTTTTAATACAGTCAAATACCTGAACTGCAGCGTATCCCATTGGTCCAAGAAATCTCTCGCACTCATCAGCTATATCTGCGAATTTCCATTCGAAAAGATGAACCATCGTTCGACGATTTTCTTCATAATTTGGATTTTTATATCCTAAACTCGTTGAGACCAACAATACTATCAGTGCAAAGATTGCATGCATCTTCGAGTTGCACATGATGAAATACGACTAACGCATATTCGCGATTTCAGAAACTCAACAGCTTCACGTACTTTTCCTATCGCTTTGTCTTTACATTCTCTTTCTCTCTTTGTCTACTTCTCATGACACTTGGAGCTCGATAGTCCATACAGATATGTATATATACAATTTGATAGACACTTATCGACAGGACGTCATAATTTCTCTTGATATAAATAGAACGAATGGATTGTGGATATATCTAATAAATACAATGTATATATCACCTTGGACAGAAATCCAATATATATATTTTTCATACATTCAATTCTGCATGTCTTATTCACATTCGAAAATGTCTGAACCTTCTTGCGACACAAAACAAACAAAGTCCATTGTTAGAAATAGATTATTTTGCACGTAATCTCAATTTTATTAGACAATTATTCATTAATTCGTGATTTTTGACAAAAATTGTAATATCGAATTAAATTTATGTAATTAAAATATTTATGAAATCGCATAACAATCGATTAACGGTAATACAATTATTTTCGTGCAATTTATTATTTTAAATTTTCACATGCAATAATGATAAAGATATTTTAATACGATGGAAGCAGTACGGTTATTTTTTCTTTATCAAAGAAGTACAAATATTTGGTTACAAATAAAAACAACCAAAATATATTCTTGTTTGCGTAATTAAATCAATATGATATAATCATTCTTAACATTTCGGCTCCAGTCTGATAGCCTGATTCATTCCGATGCGATATTAATGTAAAATCGTCATTCATTATCGTTCACCAATAATTTATAGAAACGTGCCAAGGAATGAGTCTGTTATTAATGAGACTGTCACATATGTGAATTGATAAAATCACATGGAACAATTCACCGTTCTGCCGTATCTATTTGTCTCATTGATTAAATCAATTAGAAACAAAAAAAATCGTCATTGATAACAGAGCCACACGCCGCCGGTTGCGACTTTGCGAAAAATTGTGCAAAGGAAACCCGATAGAAAAATACGCCTTACATTTGTGTTTTGCTTTATTTTGCGAATAATTTTTTTTATCTTTTTTTTTTGGCTACAGTATATCACAACATTATAGAGATCGAACTTTAGGTAGAATTCATTCCGTTTGGCAAACTCGAGCTGATCGGAACGTGCCAGATATTCGCAATGACATAAACATGTGTCCGATAAACGAAAAAAAATTTTAATTCTATATATAACGATCTGACTCATAATCTAATTTCAAAAAAAATTTGCATCGCAGTTAAAATTTTTTTGGGAAATTTGAGTCAACATTTTTTCAAAATAACCATTTCGTAATTTAAAATCGCATACGATAATAAAAATTTTTTGCGAAATCTGCGAGAAAAAGCCATTACGCTCCTTCATAAACAACCCGCGAAAATATTACGTAATCTAATCGCCATGTGATCCACGATAAGTGTCGCGAGCAGCAAAAGTCATCGGCCAATCAGAAAAGGCGCGTGTAAATGAAGTACGACATCAAAGAGTCGATAAGCGAGATATGTTCCGATCGACTCGGTTCATTATGATAATTATTATTACGTTAGAATTATTATTATTTTTTTACTTTTTTCATCCCTAGTAAGAGTCGCTCTTTTTCACGCGAATGAGGAATAGCCAGGCTGACCAACGAAGTTATATGTAAAAAACGATATAGAAATTTCGACGCGCACAGATAAGAACGATGATACATAGACCATATGTATAAATAAATATATATATATATATATTATACGCATGTATACGTACGTACGAATGTATTACGCGTCGCTATTTTTGCTCTTGTATATTTTTTTCAAATGCCTGTGCATATGACCTACGTCTGTTAACCATGTAGATTGAGCATCAACGGTGCCCTGGACTAGGGTCTATCATCAAGCAAAGATCCGGTCAGGATCTGCAGTCCAGGTAATCGTTGAAACGGACTGTACGTGATTTCATTGTTTTTTTCTTCTTTGTTTAATTACATTAATTTACAAGTAATAACATAACCTTGACACTTATGCCGCAACCTGCCGCATATAACACGACCATATAAAATCTCTGTTTATCGTCATAGCAAATTCTATTGGGGATTCGTCATCAGGAACTGGAGCTTCGTTCAGCGACGATGGAGCGATCGTTTTTTACTTTATTCTCATATGTCAATGATCGATATTTTTTTTTTCATCAAGATCCATAGCAATTTTTTTATGGTTACGCGCAACGTAAATCTTGACGACAATCCTTGTATTTCCTGATATATCGTGTAGCACGAGACTGGGAATCCAAATTAATTTGATCATTATTATTGTAAAATTGCTTACGACCTATTATTATTATTAAACCGCTTCTCCAAGGCGGATGCTATTGGCTGTTTTCGTTTTGGGGAGACTGAGGTGGAATTAGCCAATCGCATGCCCACTTATGGGATATAGATCAAACGCGATTGGTCGATCTGATTTAAATTTTGTACAACAAGTATCGTCATGGGGAACAAATTAATTTTGGATTCCAGTGGAAAATATTTCATCTTTTTCTCTTTTCTTCAAGTCTTTAGAAACATTAGCAATCACAATTTTGACGTTTGAAGAGGTAACGTCATTTAGTGATTTTTTCATAAATACATAAATATATATATGTATATATACGTATACTCATTATGTAACGAAATCAATCACAAAAGTGCCAATACGGTGTAACGCCATGTCTTATAGCAATATGATCGGTAAACTCTTACGATCGGTAAACGTGTCAAGGTATCGATTTGCAATTTGCAGAAATCGCCCAAATATAAACTATATATGTATATACTTTCTATCGTTTGCTTCACGTAACAATCATATTCAGTGTTTACATCTTATAGTCGAATTCGCACAAACTCCCGCGGAACTCGGTAGCAACTAACTCCATGGAGAATTTCGAAATCGGATTTTCGTCGGTGATTTTGCAAAATTTTTTGCAATCATTTTTCTTGGCTTCGTAGCGTATATATAACTCTTGCGAAATCTCAAAGCGTTTTCGATTCGTTATTATGTGCGCGTACAAAAGCCACAGTCGCTCACATTTAACTATATATACGACGATACTAATTTGCTAATTAATTGTTACGCGTCCGATAAAAATTGGCAATTTCGAAATTCTTTCTTGGAAAAATGTCACGAAGACTACGATTAACGAACAGGGTGCATCTTCATTATTATTTTTTGTACTAATAAAAAATCGGACCGATCGACGCGTGTTTACAATCCAGCGACACGTCGCGATCGGCGCGCGATCGGACACATGAAGATATTGCGATGGGTTTATCAGGATGAAGTTCCAACGATTTTTTTTTGTTTACATTGAACACGAAGATTTATCGATATAGGGAATGAAAAAATTCTCTAGTGTAGTATCAAATATATACTTCGAATCTGTATCTATGAATCGGATAACGTTATATCGATAGATATGTCGTAACAATAAACTATCTTTCACGATAGGATTTAATTCAAGCATATTGCAACGACTACGATCGATAGATAATCGATCGAGCTGATCGATCGTTAGTTTTCATAGAGATTGCCTTTAAGTCGCCACCATCAGAGAAGTGCAGTGATTTGCCCTCCCACGAACATAGATCAATTAAAATCACATCAAACGACATCTGATAATTGATTATAAAGTCACATAGAAATTGGCTTTAGTTGGTAACATTTTTTTTTAACTATCTCCCCTCAAATTCAATCGCAGGACAAGTAAACTGTCCGGTACACTTGACGTATAGTTCTGACAAAAATCCATTTTCATGAAAATACAATAATGATTTTCGAATGAAAAAAAAATATCAGGCATTTTTGCTTTTTCGCTGTAAATTAATATTCGATGATTTTTCGAATCTCCCGATAGCGCGCTTTTCTGTATTATTCGAAAAATCTCCATATGCGGCCCAAACGAAAAATCAAAAGGGACCCAAAAAAAAAGTTGTTAAAATTTGTGCGTCTTGTATAACCAAACTAAGTCGGCACGACCTTCCTGCCTTAGTACGAGTCTAATGTAGAGACCGCCGAGTTCTTCTACCGCTTCCGGTTCCTCGTCTCGGTTAAGAAGCTGCGGTGGGTCCACGGAGGCTGGGACGATCTCTTCCTCGCACTTGGCAGGTTCATCCGGAACGGCCGCAATGGTGGCGGCCGAGGCTGGAGGTTAGTTGCTACCTGAGTGCTGTTTCTGATCGGAACCGGCGTCACTTCCGCTTGAGCTTAAGGTCGTATTACTACCATATGGATCCAAGGACGATTGCACAGACATACTACGCCCCTGGCGTCTCACTCGGTGGGGGGAGAGCTTCCCGGGGTCAACACTGGAAGGGTCTGCCTGCAACAACCCTTTGGTCAAGTGCCACCCTTGAGACTATTCATTTTTATACACTTTTCTTTCTTATAATCTCTCAAGGTCAGTCATGGAAATTCAAATTTCCCGCCTTTCGCTATTGCTCGGCGGTTCTTTCCTGTTACGCACCTGATAGGCCAAAGCGTTCATTATCATGTTGTTCGGTACCAGCGCCAGAGGATAGACTTCGCGCATCAGTACGTTTGCCGGAATTTTATGGAATTGTATATATTCCAAAAAGTTTCCGATCACATCCTTCAGTGGAGTATTTTGGTTGCTGTCGCAATATTTCTTGCTCCACATTAGGGCAGCCTGGAGATATCGGAGTAAAAAAGAATTTTTTTTTCGAATTATCAATAACACAGTATTCGGTACAGTGGTAAAAATTTCGTTAAAAAAGAAAAAAGACCTGAAATTTTGTAAATTCATCCGCTCTCAATTCCTCTCGGGCAAGGATCAATCTTACCACGTGTTGCGGTAGCAATGTAAACGAGCCCAAATTTAGTACCTCGTTACCGTGCTCGTCCACGAATTCCAGTACCTGCAATTGCAATGTCTCTTATTTTTTGTGTTATACTTAAAACAAAATCTATGACCTGTATATAATATAAATTTATTCTGACCTTTTGCACCAAAGATTTTGTGCATTTGTACTGAATGTATCGTTCGGCTGATGCTAACAATGCACAGACAGTATCCACGGTTATGCAGCATTGCACGAAGCCAGCACAGGCTCGTCTCAATTCGTCCAATCCATAATAATCAGCAGCGTTCATGACTCCTGAACAAATTAAATTATCATTGAAAAATCTAATTGATCGATGGAATAAAATTACATATCAACTTGTAGTATCAGAGCGTGTATGCAAGTGTGGACGTAAACAGAGTGAGGAGACGCTACTAATACAATCAGTAGTTTAGCGACCGTTGATAGTACCAGACGCAAAAATACAGAACAGTAGCAACTTGGATCGAGCGAACGTGTTACAGTTATTTTATTCCCAAAAACTCTATCATTTTGTTTTAAATCACATGACTTTTTATGAATATCCTTACCCAACAATGTTCTGGGCTGCAACGTAACGCATCCTGTATGAATATATTCGATCAGCTGACGAAATACATCGGGCTCGAATTCCTCGATGATCAATGTATGATGCTGATTGGACTGTGGCTGTCAGATGAATCATGAAATTTAAAGGAAAATTATGTAAAAAATAAATTGCGTTTAATCACATCCTGATAATTTTTTTGAGGACGAACAACGGATGCACGAAATAACCTTTACTGAAAGCTTGTACACTGTACGTCGAGCGATCGTTATTATTATGTGAACTAAATTTCATCCAGTTTTCGAAATTCGAAGATATCTCGAACGAAGGTAACGTACAGCGCGTGACTCGAGGAAATAAATCACAGGTACGTATCCGTCTGTCAGTCATTGCGTGCATCTTAGCATGGCCGTAACTCGGACCACGGCATTAAGGAGAATTTGAAAATTCACAAAACTGTATATACATAATTCAAGCTGAAATATAGCAAAATCAAGCAGTACATATCCATGCTATAAGCAACTTGCACGGCTGCGTAAGAATAATACGTAAAGTAGAAAAACATATGTAATTAAGAATGCATGTATGCACAGATACAAAAGTGACCTAGAATTAGATATAAAAAATGTATTAAAATCCAATCGATGTACAGTCACGTGAAAGAAAGAATAAATAATTTGTAAGAATTCCATTAATGAGATACGTCGCATTTATACAGGCCGCGTGTGAAAAAACACGTGTGTCCTTATAAGATTATCTAGAGTCAATATTAAATAAAAATTCAAACGTTAAAAAAAGTTCATGCATCACCTAAAATAACAAAAGTCCAAGATATTTGTCCCTTATGAAAATTATGTAAAAAATAAAATTTGTTCAGATCCTGATATTTTTTTTTAAGGATAAACAATAGATGCACGACATAACGTTTACTTCAAGCTTATACACTGTTTGTCGAGCGATCGTTATTTTTATGTAAATTAAATTTCCTCCAGTTTTCGAGATCAAAAGATTTCTCGAACAAAGGTAACGTATGGCGCGTGACTCGAGGAAATAAATTATAGTTACACATCCGCCTGTCAGTCATTGCGTGCATTTTAGGATAGGCGTGACTAGGATCCCGGCATTAATGAGATTCATAATTACTAAAAAGCCGTCTACCATCTTGCAAATGACCACAAACTTTGTATCGTTACAATATATACTACAAATAGCTTTGAAAATTGTTATAGCAACACAAATAGCGCCGATAGATATTTTTATTTTTCTCGTAGAAAAAGTGGATCCATTAATTACGTATATCAACGAAGGTGTGATAATAACTAATGCCGGTATTAGAACCTACACCCACCATAGGACTGTAATACTTTGCGACGTCATAGGTCAGCGTGAACTTTAATCGATCAGAACGTAACTACAATAAATAATTCAAATGTGCGATAATATTTGATCATTATTTTAGCCATGATAAATCCTGGCAGTTTATGAAGGTGCGTTCACACTGCCCTACTGATATCAAGAGTAAGGCAATGCGAGCACGTGTGAAAGGGTTGAAGAATCGGCGATGCGGGGTCAAGTAAAAAATAATAATAACAATAAAAAAATACAGATAGTTTTAAAATGACAGACACTTGAATTAACACTGGAATCCCACACATGGGTCATTAGTGTCCACGTAAGAAAATTTCAAGTGTAAGCAGACCCTTGCAGCTATTGACCATAAACTAAAAAAGGTTTAGTTCTCTTTATTTGCCTACGGCCAGGAAGACTATGACGTCGAGCACAGACACGAACGACCCATGTATGGGGTTTACGGATGCCGAAAAAAAACAGTGGGGTTTCAGGGTCAATATAAAAGTGATTAAAGTAAATGCAGATATTTAAATTGCAAATAGTGAGATTTCATATTGAGGTAAATTATAGGATACATTTTTCTGTACAAAAGTTATGGTAAATGTACCTCTTGTATGGGAGCCAGCTGCTGCGTGAACCCTGACCGCTACACGACACATAACAAATACACACTTACTATATCTATATCGTAACACCAAGGCGCGTGTCAATAACCAATCGGTTTTGTATATTTGCATACATCGTCTTCGACTCGCGACGAGACTGTGACGTTTTTTTTTATATTTTCCAAAAAGAAATTAAATTTTTTTTTTTCACTTTATATTCAAATAAAAACGTTTCAGCGTCGTCACCTTCGTAATAATTTTGAGCATTTGGCAGGGCAAAAATAATAAATTCACACGACTTCCGTTATTGCATCAATATATATATATATATATATATATATATAAATATAGATCTATATAATAAAATACTGATCGATAGGGTGTTACCTGTTGCGCCGCGTTCTGAAGATTCAGAAGTGGCTCGGAGCTTCTCTTCAAGAAGAGTCGCAATTTGTTTTCGCGCGGCGGCGGCTCTTTTTTACGTTGCGGACTCGGTGCTTGATACAGCATCTTATGAAACACCCTGTATACCCATTAAATAGTTGAACTCAGCGGAAAATTTTTTTGATAAAAAATAAATTTTTTTAGGTGTAACTGTTATACGTCAAGCTGAACGTATCGCATGAGGTTATTGATACCTGCTCCTTGCGGCCAGGACGGCCTTGACGGCGCAGACGGGCTCGCGGGTATCTCCTACGAGGAAAGTGACGTCACAGAGCTCCGGCATACTCGCTAAGAACTTCATGTCCTCGGCCAGGCCAGTTTTGTTCTCGAACGTCGAATAATCTGGTTCCTCGGAGAGGGCGTCGGCTGCACCCATCATTCCAAGACCTAGACCGACTCCTGAACCCGAAGCTTCCGGCATTGAGCTCGTACTTTCCTGATGAAGATTAATAAAAATCTATGGTTGACTGATGCACCGTGGTGTCCAAGTGGTAAATTGTACCAGACGATCTGAATGAAAATGCTGTAGGGTACAAGAGCAATAGGCAGAGTTGTGCAGGTTGGGTTGGGCATTATATAGCGTCTGAGCATGAATAATTCTTAATTACCAGGTAGACGAACAGGCTTTTAATCAAGAAATCTATTTGCGTAGGTTCTAGAATTATCCAGCATTTTTAACTCTTGAAATTAACAGTCCTGTCAGGGTTGTGACTTGCTGGTCGATCCGAATAGCCTAGTCACTGATTTCAGTAGTAGATATCTCAGTGTATTATGTTTCATGAGGTATTTTTATGGGAGATATTACATAAGAATTATTTTTTTCATGACTGGAATATTGGCCATTCTTTATTCCTCTAGTATCTATTAAATGGATAGTAAATCTGAGGGAATGAGTCATAATTACCCATGATTCAGATTTTATTCATCGACGACTATTAATCTGCTTGCGTTGGGCCTTTATTGGGGCTAACATTTTTTGTCTTTCATTTAATCACTTATTGAAGATGATTTATGTGAATTAGGAATATTGGATTTTTTATTTGAAATCAAACAAAAATTAAGAAATAATAACGGGGTTTACGCAAGAAGTACATTTTTTAAATCATTTTTATTCGAAAATGTGAATATTTTCAGTTTTTAATTTTCACACGAGCATATCGGGTTGCCTACTTTCAGGGAATATTTACTACGATCTCTTGATGAACGTAGTATTGCATGTTGCCTATTAGCAGGGGTAAGAAGGATGATACACAATTTGATATGAAAATAAAGTTTTGAATCATTTCTTTTGCAGTGTACTAAAGTGAATTATAAATACTTGGGTTTTAAGTACATAGATATAAAATAGACTGGAATTACCTGTTGCTCTGTTCCCGGAGCCTTGTCGCCCGACGGGCTATTTCTGCCCCGAAAAAACACTTTTACCTCACTTCCGTTATTCTAGTATTATACATAATACCGTAGCCGGCCAAAGCTCAAAGAGCGTTAAACAAAAAATTACTCTTCTCGAAGCATCAGCCAACTTTTTGTAACAATGAAAAAAACAATTTAAAAAAAACAATATATATAGCAAAAATTAAATCTACAAATTAATGAATCAGGTCACTACGAATCTTTGCGTTGAAAATAAATTACGTGAGTTTCGTTCAGTCGCAAAGGAAGACCGAAAAAGTACAAATAGCCTGAGACTTTTTCAAAAATCAATCCTGTCAAAAGACGTTTTCAGCCTCGTGAAAATACAATGATAACAAATTTCCAATATTACAACACTTCGGAATCACTCAAACACGACACACTCCTTCTACGAAGCCCTCGATACCAAAAAGCTCCCCGACACAGAACACGAATGTGAATATATCCCCCAAGCTCTTTTATCATTCGTCTTTGCCAATACCCTTAACGAAACAAAGAACTCTCCCAGCTTGCATGAATGCTTGCAAGCTCACCAGGAGCTTATCTATGAACAGCCCAATCTATGAATGGATGGATATCGTATAAGCGAGCTTCCAAAGGGGTGCCCATCAGGCAGTGCACTTCACAATCAACAGAGCCTCCACTTGCGACTCCAATAATTTCAGGACTACGACGTAGGCATCGTGACGCAGGCGCCGGCAAGCTCACGAGCTTGCGCCAATAGAGCCACGAACAGCCTTGTACATGGAAGTGAGCTTTCCAGGGACAACAGGGCTTGCATTGTTCATCCCAACATGAAAACATAAAAAGGGGTGACTAGTGCCTGGTTAATAGGGGCGAGTGGATGATGACCTGAATGACGTTGATGATTGGAAAAAAAAGATCAATCCTTAAAGGTCGTATCGCTTTTGAAGTACCAGGGAAAAATTCTTTCTATAAATGTAGGTTCTGAGTTGGACTATCTTTTACTTACCCTTATTCGACCTTTGCCTTTTACTCCAACCTGGCAATTATCGATACCCCGTTGTTGATATCCCTTAGAACATACAATAAAACGTGCTGTCATTCAATGGGATACATGCTATCGACCAAGTTAAATGAATAATATAATTAGTTAATTTAATTATTTAATTTTATGCCCGTGAATTTTGAAGCTGGTTCTTAAATTTTTTTAAACTCGGACTTTCTATATTGTTATTCTCGTTTCCGGTTGTCAATTGTCAAGTGACATTGAAAGACTTATTCTTTTTCGCCATTGATTGCTTTTTCTTGAGCAATAAATAAATACGTACAATAATCGATACAATAATAAATAACCTGTTTCAGAAAAATCTGGGTCAAGGTCACACCCTGCCCTCCTATGCCATGCCAAGTCATTCATGTTTCCGTACAATACTTTAGCTCACTCTGATATAGTTTGACTCCGTTCAACGATGAATAACGGCTGATCCGCAACAAGTAGCCTGGAAATACGCCAAGAGTTTATCGTCTTTGAAAATACCTTTGTAGAATCGAATAAGATAATGGAAAAAAAAAATACCAAGAATATGAATATAAATGCATATTGAAATTGACAGTAGTAATTGTGTTATGTAGAAATAACGAAATTTAATAATGCCAGGGATCGTTTCCCCTTGGAATTTCCATCTACAGCTTGGGGCTGCGATGTTCGCCAAAGCTCGCAAGCTTTCAACAACAAGTGGAGTCTCTCGCACAGCAAGTTTCCATGAGAAATTCCAGGCAAGCATCTATAACGCCTGCGCGAGAATAACGAGCGATTTCATTCTCGTTTCTGCGAGGTAGCGGCTTAACCAATTAAAAAATGGTTCGATAGATATTATCGTTACGTTGGCTACATACGTGTTCTGTTAATTAGTGTACTCTTCGTATGACGGATGAAATAATAACTACCTGTACAACTTTTGTCTTGACCTAATATGAACATCGGTAATAATCGCTAGCACAGTACAGTCAGTGAAATTATACTCAGTACAGTAATAGTATCAATTAATGATAAATATTGCAAATGAAAATTATCACGAAATTTTGTATCAATTAGAAAAAAATATAATGAATAAAATTATATGTGGGAACTAGCACAAAATTGTAACGATGGATTATTATGCTGCCTTCCTACCTTTATAGGTTAGGGTGGAATCACAAGACCAATAACTAATCGATAACATAAAACAACATCGATTTATTTAACACAAATTCTTGCACGTTATCATAGAGGTTCTCGTAGTAATGAATTAATCATGGTAATAATATTTATGTACACATTGAAATAAGGCACGTTTGATATTACATTAATTAACGCGCCGCGTCGCGCGATTCTCAATTTACTTTTTCTTTTATCGCCGTTTCGCGGCTCCATATGTCACTTTCTCTTACGATATGCTACATCCTTACTAAGTGTAGAAAATTTCATATATATATATATATGTATGTATATAGTGTATATATATAAATGCTTTCCTGCATCTCAGCCACGCTCCAAGAGATGCGAATGGATGAATGAATGCTTTCAGTTCTTCGAAAATCTCTTAGAATGTTCTTGGAGCGTGTTTTCAATTAAACCTTGTATAGACGCACGTATTCGCGATAATTCGCAAAGTGGCGAAATCCTTATGCATCATTGTTATTAATTATTTAAAGTCATTTAATAATTCTACGACGAGGATTTGCTAATCAATAATATCCACTTAAGCACTCGCCTCTTTCAAACCTCTAACGATAATTCCACGATATTCTTACGTAATTAATTGTTACATCCGCAGTTAGTCGGGTCAGCCATATCGAAACGCAATAATTTTCAAGATCAAATATTTTTTAATACTTTTCGTTTACTCAAACGACTGATGCATTATTTCATGCGATAATTCTTTAGGATGAGACGCTTAACGCATTGTACGTCGATAATTCGATGTTTGTGATTTTTGAATTATCAATTGCAAAAGCATGTCGATCCTGCGTGCAATGTTGAAAATGAGTCGTTAATAGGACGTCGTAAATTTTTCTATTTAACTTGAACAATTTACGCATTCGATTGGCTATGTATTTAAACTTTTCAAAGTGGCTTAATCAAGTATTAATGTTTGAAAAATCTTAGTTAATTTCTTTACACGAATGTACAAATTTATGACGCTGGAATGTGTTTCGCATTTGTTTGTCGTTATACACATTATTGTTCTCTTAATCTACTAATGATTTGAGTAAAAATCATGAAAGTCTTTTGCACAGTTCTAATGTTAACCCTTATCACTCCAATCGGCAATACTGCTGTAGCGATAAGGGTCAATAGAACTGCGAACGCACGATTTTGGAATGTGTTAGAAATTCCGACGAGTTTTTCTACACGTCAATGGAATTTATTTCTAAAGTACGAATGTTAAACGCAAGATAAACTATCAATAAATACAAATTCGACGTATGCTGTTACATGCGAATATCGAGATTTCGTCGTAAATCTTTTATACTCCAGCTACGCCCCCTGTCCCCCGCTTTATATTTTCATTTTCTTATCCGGAGATTCGCCATGGAAAAACACATCGAATTTCATGAAAAACTGATCACGATCGTCGCACGTCGCGACGATGTTTCAATGTCCTCGAATGAAACTTGGAACCGAACGTCGAGTTTTGTCAATTATTTACAGAGAAAATTCGTAATTCCAATCTATCTTAAATGTTAGCTATACTTAAGCACAGTAATACCCAATTGCATAAACGAGAGGCGCGTCGCCATTGAATGGAAAAAATAAAATAAAAATATTCTCCTAACAACTCAAGACAGATCAGTCAATAGCGAGCGCCTATACGTCCCGTCACAATAGATTCTCGTTACTCTACATATGTAATTCTCCTAAAAACTCAGAAAAGATAATAATAAAAATAACAGAAACTACCCAGAAAAATCCTCGGGATCAAGGGTGATTCTCGTACAGTAAACACATTGCACAAGGATGGCCCATCAAGAATCTTTGTTATCGTATCAATAATTCGTAAGGGTCAGTTAATTCCAGACAAGATTGGTATATCTTCGTCAAACTAATTAGCTAAAAATTAGCAGGATATACATATGTATAATATAGATTCGATCGATTTACAATTCAAATCACGCTTATTCGAGTAATCTCATGAAAGAATCTAAAGAATCTCTCCCTCGGCAAGGATCGATATCAATTCGATATTGTTTCACTAAAATGTATCTATTGTCCGAAACGTGTCTTTGCCATAGAATAACGTTGCTGCTGTTGCTGCTGCTGTTGCTGCTGCTGATGTCCGGAAGCCCATGGTACCGCCGCAAAATCGTATTGGCCGCTCCGGCTCGAGAAGGATTGATCCTGTCGCGAGAATGCGCGATATCACAGCTTCGATGGATCATAATTTTCAAAGGACCATCTTTGTCTGAGCGCCGACGCGGAACACTCCTCCATAAGTAGTCGTTGCTTGCTCTCAGTGATAGCCAGACACTTGTCGCTGCTACCGTGACGTATTTGTTTAGTCTAAAAGAAAGAAAAACATTCAATATTACATAATCTTTTTTTTTTATCGAATAAAATCAATTTTTCCTTAAGGTCACCACTCGTCATTATTACCTGTGGATTGTATATCCATTGCTGATTTCCTTTGCTCCCATGACATGGATAAAGTATCACATCAGTGCCGCTGTAATCCAGGCAGGATTCATCCCGTCGTATTTCGCCAGTCTTGCTCAGCATCCAGTACTGCGAAACCGATAATCAAGTTAGAGTCACGTTAATAATCTTACAGGTCATTCCAGTGCAATGGCTTCCAGTGCTACCAACGGCTCTTGCATTCTTACTATTCGCGATCGTTCCTATCCAGTTTACCTTAAAGTTCAAATGCAATTGGATCCTACCAGAATGATTTAGCCTTCGCAAGATCATGGAGCCGTAATGTCCAGATAGCTGATACGTATGGTCAGCTACAATAACGCGATACGAGCTGCTCCCAAGTTAACTCCAGCGATATTAACAGTTGCTAGTGAAATTAGTCATTCATGTCGCAGAGAGGTCAGCACCGGGACTTGGGGTCATCACGGTGAACATCACCCTACCGGTACTCATCTCAACCCTCGTAAAACTGGTCACGTCAAAGCCACAACTGTTAATGAGCAACGGACATCGATAATTGAGTCCAGTGGTCCTCGAAATTGCGTTGATCGAATACACCCTATTGTGTTTGGCCAACTTTAGAACTGGGCACACAACTGTGCATACCGGTCATTGAGTGCCAACGAAACTGATGCTCTCGTCCCTTCACTTTAGAAAGTCCAATTGAATAAACGATCGTCGGAAGCTCGATAGCTTGTTTGAAATTTATAAAAATTGCATAATTTTTAAATTTTTTCAAAAATTTCTAACGTTGGTAGCAAGAAGGTTTACCATTGCACGGAATCGCTCGTGCGAAGGAAATATTGAAAAAAAAAAAAAAAATAAAAAAAAAATCTAAATCGTTCGCACGAGCGTGCATGGATGTAATCGGATGTCAAAGGGATAGAAAATAATCGGAATCGCCTGGAATATTCAGGGATATTGGCAAAGTTGTTTCGAATCAATTGAATTTCTGTCCAAACCTAAAACCACGTATTCATGGGAGCGACAGTGAAACGAGTCGCGGTTAACCGTCGGGAAGTTTCCTTGACGGCATTCGGAAAACGTACATGGAGATACACGTCGTAAAAAGTAACCAAAATGGCGGGGCATCCGAACGCCGATATTCCAGCTGTCGTAAATGCGAGTAAATTAACCGATTTCTGAAAACTACCAAGGATAACGTCGTAATTCGGTCGCGCTGTACGGAGACGGCAGTAAATCGTAGAGGCGCGAGCGATTTTATCAGCCGTCCCGTGGAAGCTCGACGCCGTGCGTCGGCGTCGGCGGAGTGAAGTAATTGCCGTAAAGTGCGGCTTAATCGTCAGACTAAATAGCCGAATAAAAGCGGTGCTTCGCGAGAACACAACTGAAGCGTTCTCTGTGTACTGGTTGTTTCGCTGTATAAACCGATTTACCCCAATTTTATTCGCGTACGCGCGGCTTTACGATTTGTCGTGTGACGTCATAAATGTTTACACTGATTAAGCTAACTCGCCTAGGGGTTGTTTTCGGTGACGAGCAAAGATTCCGTAATAAAAAGTCATTAACGGTTAGTATGAAAAAAAAAAAAAAAAAATCGTACCAGTCGTTATATTTATTATCATGTACATTGTATCCCATGGAACTTTTTACAATTTTTACCTGGCATTAACCCCGACACTGTGTACTTCACTTTAACTGACGACTATCATTAATGCGATACACGGTAATTTCATAGGCCCGTTTTAAACGACTCGAATTCAGTTTTATTCGCGCTGTTAATATCGTGCAGCTAATTCGTGCTCCCGCGAGTATCGTTACGAGTACTGCAGACACAGTTAACCTGTAAACTCACAGGTACGAAAACGCCATATCACGTAGGTGTGTAATAGGATAGACCATTAAACCGTACCGATTAATATAGGGTGGAGCGATTAAAACTGACGAGATAATACAAAATTTACTGACTCTCAACCCGTCTCTGTCACGCGCCAAGAAAATTGTATGTGATTGTTGAATGTTTTTTTTTCTTTTTTTTTTTTTTTTTTTTTTTTTTTTTTTTTTTTTTTTTTTTTTTTTTTTTTTTTTTTTTTTTTTTTTTTCTTTCGTAAAGTAATACAAACGTTGTACAAATATTTGAATATTATAAATTGGAAGTGTTTGTATAAATTTTTATTAAAAATTTTAACCGGATTTAAACATTTTTTATGGTCTTTTGTGGACTTTCATATGACTCCAGCAGTATTACCGCCCACGGTTGTTAATGGCAGAGACATTAATTGAAACGCCAGACGCTTTTCTCTTACGTGTTACAAAAGGGAACCTGGGCTGCTGCTTCTATATTCTCTCATACTTTTTATATGGGAGAGTGTTGGTATATTTGAATAATATAGCGAATGTTCCTAAATATATATATATATATAGAGAGAGAGAAAATGGTCCTACGATCCTCTGATGAAAATTCTTTATCACATTTCCCCTACCTGATTTCCACCTTGGCCGTGACATGGCCAAAGGCCAACCGGCTGGTGAAGATCTTCCGGTTTTCCTGGCGAGTCTATACAGACACTGCTAACGAGTTGTCTTATCTGTATCGTAAAATTACATCGAGATGTTCAACCTTCAAATTCTTGTATAGTTCGACGAACTAGGAGTATTTGATAAAACTATACGTCATATAAATTTTTCTTGTAAATTTCCAAAATCTTTCTGTTAGTTTTTTTTTCGGTTATTTCGTTAATTCCCATACCGCTTTGTCACGATCTACTGTACAGACGCGGTTGTTCGTTGTTATTTATAAATACATTAGTTACGTCATCGTTATGTACTACAATATTGAATTCTACGGGTCAATAAACTTTTTCGTACGATCTACATTAATTGCAATTGAGAAAGAAATTTACAGAATTATACCTTTTTGCCATTTTGGATGGATTCGGGATGTTTTCGAGTTTTTTTTTTTTTTTTGTATATGTGTAGGGGAAAAAATAGAAAACAGAAGGATAGCATCGAGGAGGAAGCCAGGGACTGTACAAGGGACACCCTAAACGGGTGTCTGGCGGATTTAATTAATTGTACCTGGTTGCCACCCTGTCGATGGCAGGGGTAGAGTCCAGCCGGTTTATGTAAGTCAGCCTTGCGAGCAGGGGAGTCCAAGCAGGTGTTTCCGCCCTCACCAAGATTACGAACCTGAGTGTTAGTATTTACATTTTAATTGGCGGTTAGTTACAATTAATCTATATACAAGGTTAATCAATCGAGTTATCATTATACAGAATACAACGAAATCAGAGACTGCAGATAGAGATTGGATATAAAAATTAACCAAAAAAAAAAATACAATAAATTATTTCAGATAGCAAATTGGCCATTTCGAAGTATAATGAGAAATAAAAGCAAGTGAAATTATTGTAAGAACAAAAGGTAGAGCAATACTTTTGGAAATCCATTACTGCTTCCTGTAACACGAGAAACCTTTTTGCCTAGTTTCTCAATTTTTCGAAATGACCAACCGGAAATCGACTGGTAACCTTATGCGGTGGCTGATTCCGAGTGCTTTTCAAAATTACATTTTGAAATGGAGAAGAACCTCACGTATTCCAGCTACACGAGAACGATTTTCAGGCGAATCACGTAAACACTTTTTTCTCCAAAAAAAAAATCGCACATCGGTAAATTTGTCATGTGGTTAATCCAAAAAAATTAGAAAATTCTTTTTGGTATCTCGTTTTCGCAACGATAACAGTTTGCCGTGTACGTACACGAGGTATACCTTTATCGTTATAGGAATTTTTTTCTTTTTTTTTTTTTCAAGTTTTTACTTGTGACTATTTTTATATTCTTTTTTTCATAGCCAAGCGAACGGACGAAAACAAATCGAGCGCACGCGAGAAGCGGCCACCGCACGTTTACTAGTCATGCACATGTACTCGTAATGCACATATCACAGAGGCGTGGGGTGGGAGTCTCAATGTCATTGGACTGCCCGGGACTTTTTGTGATCGTTGCAATTTTGTATCCGGGACCCCATCCTCGTACATCCTCGACCCTCCCACTCCTCCCCCTGCAATCCTGTACAACACTGGCAACTCTGTAAAATAAAAATGTTATCTGGTTCGCTGCACTGCAATCCGCACTATCCGCATCATCCAGTAGTACATCGAAGTGCTGCCATCTAGCGGCTTCGAAAAGTTCCTAGACGATATTTGTAAAATCTTAATGACGCGAGGGAAAGGAAATCGAGATGCAACGGCGATACGTAGTAAGACCCAGTAAAAACGACGAATCGCTGGTCCGAGCGGAATAACAAAATCGGTACTAGAATCGGTGTAGATATAAAGGAGGGCTTAAGCTGGTACCGAAATTTTGAGATACTTCCTGAACGGAAATTGCATTACCAGCCTCCCGTCCGTATGTACCGGAATTATTCACGGCGCGGTACGCGCTTTCCCGACAGGCTTTCCGGCAGACCCTGTGCAAACTATAAATTCCCCAGGGAACGTCGTACGTGATTTAGTCGGTAGTGAAAGAGAGAGAGAGAGAGTGAAGCAAAGGAACGCACTCGTGTTGACGCATAAAAATGAAGGACACACGATGGGAGAGAAAGCGAGAGACGGGGAGAAAGAGAAAAATAGCCCGACGGTACAGAAAGAGCTTGACAAAAACGTAAGTTTACAACTAGGATTTGCTTGGCGCCGTGAAAATTGTTAGTTCCTATGCTCTGCCAACTCGTGACTAAAGCTAGTAATATAGCTGGTCTAGGGAATTCTCGGATATTCATAATTCTACAGAAGCACCAGAGGAAGGTATACTGCAAACTAGTTCTTTCGTCACGCAAATAAATGAATAAAAATAATAATGCATGGCACTGTGGCATTTAATAAAATTTCAAATTTGATACCTCCTAGTTTCAATGTCTACGATCCCCGACATGTGGGTCTAGTAATGTATCCTGGGATTAGTTATTTTGTAATGGCGCTAGAAGTAAATCGGAATATAAGGAGGAACTGTCGTGGCGCAACGTACGTCATGTGGGGAGTCGCATTTGTCACACGAAGCGTGAACGACGATCGTTTCGCAATTACGAATAGGCAACCGAAACGCAACGAGGAGCCAAATAGAGAGTGGGCGGAGTGGGCGGTTGGGGTGAATAAATCACGTTGTATAATTAATCACTGGCTGTTAAATGCGTCGTCGAGTAAAATTAATGCACAATCAATCCCGTACGTGTAGTTCGAATAAAGTGAGGTAATTTTTCGAAATGACGTCATAAATAATTTCAAGAGTCATACAACATGCAGCTTAAATATTTTATTCACTTGATCCACCGTGTTGATCAACGTTGTCGATTAATATGACGTCTAGGAATTATTCGCGAAATTCAATATTTTTTAGGATTTTTTTTAACAATGCCAATTCAAGGAATCAATGTAACATTAAATTAACCGATGCTTGACAAAGCGTTACAGACCAGGATCATTGTCCTGTATTCGCATTTCACGGGGTATTGTTTCTCAATCAAAGGCCGCGTTTTGAAGCGATAGTCACCTGTCGCTGCTAATAATCCACATGACACACGAGCACAATGCTTGTCCGATACGATGCGACCTGGATGCACCGAACCCAGTGTTCGCCGTTGCATCTCGTCGAATGCACATATCGCATTACGCAATCACAGCGTAGTGGCAGTGACACAAAGCATCCGTAGAGGACTGTATGGCGTGGAGAATATAAAAAAAAAAGGAACAAGAGAATAATAAAAATAGAAATCAGAACTGCTGAATGAAAAAAAAAGTGAAAATGTCATTCCCGTGTGACTCGTGCGGATCCTCGCTGATGCATCCTGATGGATTTGACAGGTTTCCTGAAACATTCTGTAGTGCATCCAGAATATTGGATCGAATAAGAGAAACCGTTTGATGATTACCTCGCCCGACGCAACCGCTTCACCAGGTATGAAGAGCTCCGGATAGATGTTATCCAGGTACCACTTGAAGGACTTGCAGTCCAGCTTCTTCCTAAGTGCTTTACGCTCCGACACGTCCCCGTAATTGCCCTGTGGAAAGGCAAGAAAACACGTAGTGGCATTCTGTGTTCCAGAGGAAGATCCCCGTTCACTTGGGACCGGTGATGGGAGCAAGTACCCATTAAGGGTCAAGTAACGTTCGGGACCGAATAGAAAGAAAAGCGAAGAAAAAATAATGGGGAGAGCAGGGAGTATCGCGAAGAAGATATAAGGAAGGATCTGCTCTATTATAAAGTAACTCAAGAAGCTTTAAAGAAAACTAAATAAATAGATGAACCTCGTGCAGCTGAAGTATTCAAGAAAAATCAGAAAATCTTTTATACCCTATTCAATTTAATATATATGTATTTTGTCAGATTTTAATGAGCTCTTTATCAAGATCCTAGTTCCGTTACCTTGATACTTTAAGTATCTATTCTATACCGCTGATTGGCTTTGTTCGTGATAAGGTAAGAGGTAAGTAGGTAGATATGTCAATCCTACCTTCTTAGAGAATAATTACCTTGTCTTGTCCTATCCTCTGGTAGTAGTACTTGGCATACTCATCCAGCCACACTTCACTCAGCCTGATACTGTTCCTCTTGAGCACGTTGACACCACTACGCCATTTGTAAGGTGAACGTTTCCTGAAGATATGTCCAACATGGGAGCAAGGTACGATTTCCAAGGTACCTAAAAAAAATAATGGAAATTAAATAATCAAAGATGACAAACATATCAATCATTTTATGCGTATTTAATAGGTAAATGAATATTTTATTTCAAAAATAAAAAATTTCTCCAGTCCCATATCATTGGTACCTTATCAGATTGAACGTTTCATACGTAAAGCATAGCGGACACGTCTAACTAATGGGATTTCAAGTGACTTCACTTTCGCAACCGATAACCGTCTATCGGTAAGATAAAACTCGTCCATGAAAAAGTTTCTGATCGTTTTACGAAATCGAAAAGTTTTCTCCATCCTGGACCATAGATAGACTATATCGAGTATATACCATAGAATGTATTATACTCTCTACCTCCACACATCCAAGTCTTGAACGATAGCTCGAGATTCTCGCCGCCCCAGATGTCGAATCCGCTGTCGTACGTTCCAAGTCTTTCGAAGAATGCACGATCTATGGAGAAGAGTCCACCGGCCATTGTCGGAGACCAGACAGGTTCGGCTGGATTCTTATGACGTTTCTTTTCGCGTTCCGGTACAGCGTGCCAGTTGAACTGGGGACATAAAATATTTCGGTATAATTGAAAAATGGATTTTTAAAAAATTTTTAACTAAAAACATACCTGTAAATTCCAATCGAATCCTCCGACATTGACTCCGCCAGAATCGCGCCAATGATATTCCAGCGTCGTGTCGTCAATTACGTCGATCACGGGACACACGACCGTTCTCGAATTTCTGGCAATTCTATCCAGAAGAGGTTCCAGCCAGCCTTCCGTGCATTCGCAGTGACTATCCAGATAAGTTAAGACTGGCGCCTTCGCTGCTGCAGCTCCTAGTAGTCTTGCTCTTATCAGACCCTCCCTCTTTTCAGCCCTGATTATCTTGACTTTGGGGTAGTTCATCATGTAGTCCTCGAGCTGTCGCTTTAGATGCGCTGAAATCGAATGGGAATTACGTGAAAAAAATGTAACATACAATTAATGAATTTAACAATTAAATTCTAATTTATTATTATGACACAAAGATCGCGGTTAAAGTCTTGGACTAACTTTGAACTAAGAACACAATGCCACCCTTTTGGACTTTAGGAATAGTTGTGGTATTCTTTGAATGAATCACTGGGGCAATTGTCAAAGGATTTCCGGTCCCTTGTGGTATAAGTACCCGATATTCTCCGAGCTAAGGGCCAACGGAATTCCGGGTACATTAAATCCTCCCTTTAGGTCTGACTGAAGTCGCTCTCTCTATTTCCCTGGTAGTCCTTTGAACTCTTCCCTTTACGAATAACCCTTCTAGGATCACGTTAATCTTCCGGTCCGAAAATGCGGATTTCTTCCTTTCTCTTTGCTCAGTACTCGTTACCCGATTTCTCTTTTGGCTATTGTATTATAGATCACGCCCATCTGATTGGGTAATTAAGAAATAATTAAGGTTCCACGAGTCGAATACGAAAATATTAATAATTCATGCGTATCAATTCCATTGTTACGTCTGAATATTTGTGAATTACAAATTTTCGAATTGCTTAATTGTTACGGAATTTTTAAAATTTTGTCTAAGTTTTACGTGTAAATTCGACATTTTGTGTACTACGAAACTGGGAACGACAACTCTGCTAATTATGAGTGACATGGAGTGCAAAACACATTATTCGACGGTACAATTGACAGTTCAAAGATCGAGCATAATAATGCGACATTGGCAAGCCTGCAGGAAACTAAAATTAAAGGGAAAAAAAGGATTAATTAAATAATTGAAATAAATTTGATACTGAAAAAGTCAACGTACACTACGACTACAATAAATCATTCGATTACTTTTCACTCCCTTGAGAAATATCCTAAGTATCCAAATCTTTATTGGTGGGTCAAAGTTTCCTATATCTTAATACTAATACCTCTTTATACGTGGAAATTTCATTATCTCTTCCTACACAGTAACGGTAAAGCAGCCAAATGGATTGAACTCAGTAATTAATGTGCGCGAGTAATACCAATTAACGAGGTAAAGTAACGAGGGAAATAATTGTCTCGACGTTCGCCTAGAATATTCAGAATATAGAATTTCAAAGGCTTATTAATTGAGATTAGGTTACGTTATCGCAGAAAGTGTACCCCCCGATTCCTGGAACGTCGCCGATATCCCAAAAGGTCATATCATAACCATACAGCAGGTAAGTAGTAAAAGCAAATACAACGGACAGACATAAGGGTATTAATCCCTTAAAAACCAAATTTTAGGGTCTCTTCATCCGCACTTCGTAGGACCTATGATTCCATATAATTGTAAGTACGATTTAGATTTATGGGTATGGCTAACCGAGTAATGGTCAGCTGGGTAGCAATTAGTGGACTTCGCCTGATTTATTCGTATGGATGGCTTTATGAGGACGGCGTTCGGGACGTTCAGGACGCTCGCACCGTTCAGGCCGATCCTAAGCCGCTATAGCGGATGGGCTTAGTTAACTATGGACAGTAAAGGGATTTTCTGGATCAGCAAGCCGTGTCTCCTGCGCATACCGGGCGCATAACTTCACCAGGAAGTATCTGAAACAATCTTGAGGGAATGTTACAATTAATCCTTCAGTCGATCCAGAAAAGTTCCGCTAAGAAAAACAAACAAGTGTGACACTTGGGTTGTGTAAAGAAAAATAAAAAACAAATAAAAGGATCGTTTAATCCTCACGGTCTGACAGGACTAAGTGTTCTCTACGATCTCGGTAAACACAGGTCAAATTACATAGGATATAAGGTAGGAAATGAAATAGGGAAGAACGTTTTATTTCCTTCTTTCTTAGAGATTAGGGGATCTTGGGGTGTAATAAAATAATCAAGTTTTACTACGTGGTCAGGCGCGGATCACTAGTAGAAAAGGTACCCCGCCATGCCAGACAGCCATATCTGCTATCATCCAAGCAGAACGTCCTGGCCAAGTATGTTTATGAGAGTAGCTTTCCGTGGCTTCGCCAAGTGCTTATCTTGTGAACCTTCGACCGGAAGTACGCACGACCCTTCCCCGTGAAACTTTTTAACCCTCTACCCTCTACGACCTACGTCCAACGGGTTAATTCACCCTTTTTATGAGGCTACCACGTTATATCGCTCGACCTCGTGAAAAGCCACGATCCCCAACGTCCCAGCACTCGTCCCCTTCAAGGACGACACCCACGTAACGCAGTGTCGACGATTGTCTCGTCTGGTGTCATAACAGGTTATATTACATTATTCGCAGAATTTTTATATTAAAGGTACATATAAAAAAGTAAAAGAACGTAATAAAGCGTTCGTGAGATTATTTCGTGACCGAATTCCTCCTTTTTTACGTTTTCCTGGAACGCATTGCGTTCACCGAGATAGATCTCTGTTAATCGATCCACCCGGTACGTATATATACATAGCTACTATTTCTACCGATATTGATGGCATTCCCCAGCCCCGCCCATCTTCTCCATGATGTTGGTAAGGACGCAGAAGTGTAACGAATGGCCAAAGTAAATAGATTGGATGGAAATAAGGGTGACAAAACAGGGCCGTATCCATCGAAACCTACTACGGCGGACCCCTGCGCCCTATTTCTTGAAATTTATTAGCCGCGATCATTCAGCCATTTAAAGAGTCGAGTGGAGTCGATCGCGCCCGAAAGCAGACGAACGCTTTGAGGAAAATATATTCGTCGCAAACGAACCGGAGAATCCTATTCCGTTAGGGGTTCTGGAATAGGGTAGCTGGTAGCGGATCGAAATAAAAATAGGAAAGGTAGCAAGTGCGAGTGAGTAAGAGGATAAAGAGTGTGGCGAGCCAGGGCTAGGAAAATACGTTCGTTCGTGCGTGACGGCAAAAGCACCCCGTTACCCATTTAAATGACGGCTCTCTTTGCTCGGGAGAAAAACTCGTCTCGTGCCTTTAAAGAATTCTCATATTTTACCTTTTACTTTATTTTTATTAGAAATCTATTCTAATCGTATATCCCTTATACACAATACTCACGCATGTCGGAATAATCATCCACCAGAATGATCTCCTGGATCAAATGATCCGGCGATCTGTCCAGGACCGAATGCACTGTTCTGAGTAGCACCGACCAAGCTTCGTTGTGAAAGCAAATAATAACTGCAGTTGCGGGTAATTTTTCCAGGTAACGTCCTGGCTCCTTGCACCTGCAAACAGAATAATATCCATCTGTAAAGTCAGCTGTCAACAACCTCGACAAATACGTGCATGTCAAACGGATCTACGTTAGACTACTTAATTATTCACGTATATTCAATGTATGCCAGTTCGTGGCGGTGGTATTTCCAAATCCTGCAATTTCATCAATTTCCTAAGTCAATACCGAATCTCTATAGCCGTCACGTACTGCCAACCGGATAACACAAACAAGATCTAAGACGGAGCTAGCGACGGTTTCCAACGAAACTGCACACCGTTAATCACTGTTGAAAAAGGAGTCTTTACTTTTGTGATACATGGTCCATAAATGTATCCACGTATATACTGCCGCAGTTACTGCACCTGACAATCCGCTATCCGAGTCACGTGTTCTTACCAGGTTATCGTACAGATAAAAGGATAATTATTAGCGATAATCCAAGTCCTCGATAACGGATATCTCAGATCTCAACCGTGTCTGTAATAATGGAGAACGAAGTAGCAATTTGGAGTGGTAACGAGGTACCTAATTTCTTATACATATATAAATGAAATGGTCTTTTCTATGTCAGGATTTTATTTTTCGACCGTCAGTATTACTTGGTGAATTAAAAAAAAAATCTGATTCGAGATTCGAGGGAAAAACCCGTAAAGATATAAATAAAGTTATCTCTGTTATAAATAAAAATTATCTCTGATTAAAAGGTATACATTTCGTCGAAGGCTCTTTTATAATTATTGATCATGTGTTTTTGAGAGTTTGAAGTAATTCTAAAATAACGAAACTCCAGATTCAAAAATAATTATTACAAAAGGAGAGTGACACAAAAGATACTGCGTAATCGATACTGACTTTTCCTTTTTTTTTTCCATCGGAAAAAATTGCGAGCGACCCTCGCTTGACAAGTGATACTTTTTTTTTTTTTTTTTTGGTTTATGAGTTGATGTCCAGCCAACGAATTCAATACCATCCGGCGAACCGGAAGCTGCGCGTGCTAGTTATACGAACTCTTTTGTCCCTCAGAAAGTGGATATCGATGTTGGAAATCAATCGACTAGAAATGATTGAAGCGTTCGACAGTTTTAAGTGCTTTTCCACTTTGTTCTTCAGGATGGTTTACGCTTTTACAGATACGCGCTCGATACCAATAACGAACTCTACGAAAAGTTTCGTCGAATCCGTTTGAAAAAGTATAAATCTCAGTATGTTCGATATTGTTCGGAAAAAAAAAAATAAATTAAAAACCTCGAATACTAATCTTTTTCGAAGTTCAAACCGAATATCCAAGTTATTCCATCTTCTTATCTAATATTAAAATCCATTTTTCAATTCAAAGCTAACGAGTTTTCAGGATAAGTTATAAATGTCTCAGGGCTGTTCGATCTCAGCCGAAAGCTCGTTCAATCAGATTGGAATATCGAAATTCGGTGTAGACTTTTCTGGGTATGCTGATCGTTTACTTGCACACCACCTTCAACCACCTTCAACCACCTTCAACCACCTTCAACCACCCTGGCCTGTCTCCTTGAATTCACACTGCTCACCATTCCGGGCGAGTACGTGCATTCAGCGAAAGACAAACAGTCTAGGAAGAGATATCCCTGCGGGAACCGGGTATATTTGGCAGAGTACCAGCACATTCGAGATAAAGAAGCATTTTGCATGGTTCAAAAAATAATCTAAGACCCAACAGCGTAGAAGGAGGAGCATGAGAGAAGGATAATCGAAGTTTGAGAATTTGTTGAGGAAGGCAAAAGAAAAATTCCATAGGGGACGAAGGTAAGAAGAAAGGAGGCGAAGGTTACAAAACCGCCAAGTAGATAAAGTACGTGCGTAGTCAGACATTGTGGATTTAGGATGGAACCATACGCCAGTGATTTCCGACGCACCCTCCTTATTGTTGGGGTTGAAATAAAGGGCCCGGGGAAAAAAAGAGAAAAGAAGAAGATGGAGCCCCGGAAATAATCCCATAAATTCAATTAAGCATCGAGACTCCTGTAGGTCGAGCTGTGTATACGAAGTTGCCTGCCCCGTTGGGGATCATAAAGGATTGAGATAGCACGAAGGGCGGGCACGACGGCTTAGGGTTGGTTCACATGGACAGCGACGTCTATGATGAAGTGTTTCTCACCTCGGTATTCTGCCCTTTAACCCCTAACATATATACACCTACTTTCTCAGTTTCTCTCTCTCTTCAACCCTTAGGATTCTTCAGCAGCACGTCATACCACTCCCTTAACGTACTATACCGCAGCCGTACTATTACCCTCAGCTTCCCATATGGGGTGGGCAAGAGTTATGCGAGTTTTTATGTATCTACGTGTCCGCCTGCGCAAGGAAGACAGAGAAAATCCTATACCACCCCAAGGATACTCCCAAGTGCCTTTCGAAGGGATACCTACCCTCATCCTTCGGAAAGCCACTTCGAGAAATATCTCAACTTTCATTTTATTACTTCGGTGCCTACGGAGAGATGAATTTCAACATCACTTAGGATACTCACTTATATTATATTACACTGTACTCCGCCCTGACTGTACTGCTTGTACGTGTTACGCAAGGCGTAAGAATAAAAGCGGGAAACTGAGAAAGAATGAATTGAAGAAAGGTTTGTGACACGGCTCATAGCGTTTCCTGCAATTTTCTAAAGTGCCGAACTCGAAACATTACTGTGCTATTGTCTAGCTGAGGGCTGCAGGTATGTTGCGGGGTTCGAATAAGGCCATTTCGAGAATTATTCCCGTAACAAGGCAAGCCCGACGTCACAAAAATTCTAAAGGGCCAGCCAGTTACGACTGTTTCAAACCGATCCTTTGGGTCATCATAGTTCACAGTTCACATTCATCGAGCTGGATTATTTTTCCGGAATATAAATCCGGCATGTGCTAAGGGTTGCTTGATATATACATGGCTATATATATATGTCTATACGGGTTCCAAAAATTTCTAGGGTACCGACCACTAACGACAGGATTTCAGTCGTCAAGACAACCCTGCAAAATCTTGTTCACATGTCAACACTTAATCAAATGACAAGGAGTGAAAGTAACCCCAAAAGGAGAATAGAAGAAATTCACAAAAGGACCCCCTTTCTCTCATATTTCTCAGATATACTGTAGAAAAAATGTAGTACGCGTAACATATAACGAAGGTGTATATAAAAATGTTAGTGGTACAAATGAGATTATGAGAGAGATACAATTAGTCTGACTACGAGAATCTTTTGCCTTGCTGGTTATAACGGGTGATCCCGTAAAATAATATTAAAGTCTTTACTGAATTTTCCAAGTAAGTCTGGAAAGGATGAGAACGAGGACCGACGAGGATGAAGAACCGGATGATGGATTGTGTTAGGACGTAATGAGTAAACAGTACTCAGCCATCCTTGAGCCACGAGAACAGCCACTACCGGGAGGGTGGTTTCCACCCCCAGCCCCGTCGCACTAACAAGCGATCTCGTTTACCCCTAGGAGAAACGTCCTTACGTAGAAAACACGTTTAATACCACGCACGTACGTGTGGCCCTTTAACACACTCACAAATCCTGCGCCACCTGACATTCGGACTCGTGGATTATCCTAGAGAATCAACGCCAGTAGTCACGGCACTGAACGAGTCAGACCAAAGAGGGACTTTCGTGCGGTTCACACTTTCCGGGCGCTTCCAGTGCCGGAAGTCTGGCTGTTCCAAGTCAAAATGAAGCCCACGAGACCAGCGCCCCTCTCCTTGCGCCATGGCCGCAACGGTACCTCGTTAGACCTTGGAAAATCAAGCCACGGACCCGTGGCCACGTTACGTGCGTATGTCTGAGCATGCACTGTACTATTACCACTTAGACCAGTGAGGTCAGTCGGAACGACGCCGGGACTGGTAGATTTCTATTCTGGAAATTCGCCAAGTTACTCGGTAGGACCTCAGGGTCTATTCTCTGCACCTTTATATACTTCGCCCTCTTGCTGGCTTTCATTCTTACTACGCCCCTGTGAGCGACAGCCTCATTTTTATAAGGGAACAGATTTCTGCCTAATGGGCCTTGGTAGGGACAACTTTACACAATCTGCTTCACAGTGGAAAAGCACTCGCGCATCAGACACACTTATGGCCTCCGTTACGTAAGGGCTAATATATGTAACACCTACTGCCACGTGAAACCCAGTCTATCCTGCTGCCTATATCCGAGCTCTTTTTCAGTTTTCAATAGCCCCACCCCTTCTGCCTAACAACCACGTCGAGTTTTCGTGGGGTGGCACGAAAGCGCAAATAGACGGGGCACCCCGTGCGATAACTACGTAGATGAATGGCAGCACGTAAATCTAATATGTAAAACGTCACGAGGTGTCATAAATAAGAAGGTGCCCCCCTCTCGGTGCACGTAGGTACGGGGTTGGTCGTTATAATTACTAGGTGGATGTTAAGGGTAGGTGACCTAACGTGTTACGTTAAGCTCGTAAATAACGAAGCGCGGCGTCTTACAAATAGCCTTGCTGCTTGCCAATGTCTCACGGCCTCCATACGATCTACCGATTATTCTCTCGAGAAAGTTTCCCATGTATCTCGACACAAGACATACAGGTCGAAATTCGTAAATCATACGTGAACAATGGTCGATTACGAGATTCGGTGTAATATATCGTTTAGAAATTTTCCCTTTTTTTTCTTTTTTTTTCTTTTTTTTTTTTTTTTTTTTTTTTTTTTTTTTTTTTTTTGTTATTCGCCCCCTCATCTTTTTTTCATCCCACTCGTTTTCATCTTCCGGTCGCTCACTGCCTGCAACATTAGCGCGATACTTTTGGTGATTAATGGCCAACCGTCAGGGTCGCCAACTCTCACCCGTAAGATTAATACCGACCGTGGAAAGTCGGAGGAAGAGTTTTAATACAGCAGCGACAGTTTGTCTGCCTGAAATCCTTCCGAGTAACGAAATCCTTGGGACTTAACCCACCCATTACCCTTCGGCCCTGAACGCACCCTCCGCCGGCATACGGTAACCCAATTTTTTTCACAGGG